ATAGACAACTTCCAAACCAACTTCTTAGCAGTCGAAATCAATACAACTAAAGGCTTAATAGCAACTGGTACAACACATTTACCTTGCCGACGACAAACATTCCCGACTGGTGACTTACTAAAACTAATGAGACGTAACACACCAGCGTATTTTATAAGAGACACACCATACTCGGACACCGAAACAGAAACCCAAGGGGGAACATATTACACGACTTATTAGAAAACGGCAATATCACACACCTTGGCCCAGATTTCGAAACCTACATAACTGCAGGAAACACCGGGAAGCCGGATATAGTTCTGACCAATAGACACCACCATTTGAATACACACATGAAACCTGGACCAAGCACCACTAGCGGTCACCTGCCCATAATTATCATCCCTAGATTCTCTTTTAACAGAGCAAACTGGGAGGGTCTTAAGGCAGAACTCGACACAAACGAGCAAATACATCTAAGCAACAAAACACAACAGACATTGACATAGCCCTGGAAACATGCATGGTACACCAAAGTTACCACAGCCATGGTAAACAACACCCCCAAGACATCTTACCGTACACTACCCCACGCACAATCAACACACGAACATAAAATAATCCAGACAAGACTGAATAACTTACTAAAACACACAAACACACACGACTGGAACCAAGAAACAATAACTCTCTTCAGAAACCTAAAGGAAGAACTGAAAAAGATATATAAACAATCGCACAGCGACAAATGGAACCAGCTAATCACAAACACAGAGGCCGACTATCACAATCCAAAAATCTTCTAGAGTAAAATAAAAAACCTAATGGGCACTAACTACATAGATAACAGTCATCTTACAGATGACAACGAGGTAAAAGCTACAGAACCTGTAGACAAAGAATTGAATTTCAGAAATTTCTGGAGTAACATATATAAAATCACATAAGAAGAAAACAGAAACTATTGTAGAGTAACAGAACAGATGGTAACAACATTGCTTGTAACGAGTGATTTTAATTAGTATTACAAAATTCAGTAATTGTAGGTTTTATCTAGCGACTCAGAGCCTAGGGTGTCCTTCAGCAATAGGTGGACCAAGTGGAGATGTCCCACTAAGAGAAGAAGAAGCAATTCATCACTTGATATCATATTTAATTCATTGCATTTTGTGAAGGTAACGCCGGGAAGTGAAATATGGCTGACAACAGAGAAAAACCAGGAAAGGATGCATTATTTTAGTAATATGTGGAGTCTTTTTCGCAAGGAGGAAGATAGAAAGGGAGAGATATGTAGTGAGGGAGGGATATATAGATGGAGAGAACGAGGGAGGGAGGGAAAGAGAAAGAGAAATTAGGGAAGACAGGAGAGAGGGAGGGATGGAGGTAGAGAGGGAGTAAGAGGAATGGATTGAGGAAGATAGAGGGAGGGAGAGGGGAGAAAAGAGAGGGAGAGAGGGGAAGGGATGGAGGGACTGATTTTCTTTGAAGTTAGAATCCAAACCACCCTGGCCTATAGCAGTGGAACGTAGGCGTGTAATACTATAGTAACAGGGTTTGATAGATAGACGGAAGACAGACAGACAGATAGATAGATGGATAGACAGATAGATAGAGAGAGAGAGATGAATAGATAGATATATAGATCCTTCCTTTCCTCATTTACACTGCTCCCTCCTCCCCCCCTTCCCCTCATCTCCCAGCAAGGTAGGTGTTAGAGTCCCTGGCCGACCCATGTGAGGATTACTGCCGATAAGAGGATTTCGTTTAAGTATATTATGGCCTGAATTTTTTGGAACTAACGAGGCATCTTTTGAGGGCAATGAACTGAGAAGATGAAGACATGGAAAGCAGAGAAGACGATAGAAATAAAAAGGAGAAAAGAAGGATAAAGCAAATAAAAAGAAGAAAATAACCACATGAAAGAAGAGATGGGAAGAAGTAAATGATAACAAGAACAAGAATGAAATATATAAAGAATCATTATAATAACATAAATGAAAAATTACTAATTCTAAGAAGAAGAAGAAGAAGAAGAAGAAGATGAAGAGGAGGAAGAAGAGTGAACCGAAGGGAAGGAGATAGAGAGAGGAGAGGCTGACTATAAGACAGATTATAAAATTTCCGGGTCGTTTGGCGACTTCATTTCCTGCTGTCCTCCTTATCAAGATATTTCTCATATTCTTTCTTTATCACTCTAGGTATGTCCCTCTTCTCATATTATTTCTTTATCACTCTAGGTATGTTGATTTCTTCTGGACTTTTTGAAGCAAACTGTAGCTGCGACTTCCACTGTGGCTGTGTTATAACAAGATTATATTAACACTAAGGTCAAGGAAGCTGTATTAACCCACACCGCCTGTCTGCTTTCATCACAGGTCAATATTCTGAGTCCATCTAGGTGCCTATTAGAAATACTGGGATTTTAGGAGCTGAGATTTTATTTGTGCTTGACAGTAAGCAATGACATGACATTTTCCATGATGTTGCTGGGTTTGTCATGTCTTCCAGGCCATTCTCTTGAGGAACAACAGTTGGGGACGTGCAGATCATATCAGTGTGAATATCAAGTATTCATCTAGCCCCTACATGTCTCCGGCGAAGGTTCTGGAAGCGTAACAAAACCTCTACTGGGAGCGCGTCACTCAGGCGGGAAAATTCCACCTGCGGCGCTAAACTGCTCCCCTCCCTCCCCTGCACGTCCCTTGTGAAAAGTATTCAAAAACCCCACACACACCGGGATTCTTTCTACTCCCACTGTATTTCAGTTTTACCACTTTTCTTCAATCCTTAATAATATTTTTTCACCTCATAACTCATGACTCCAAAGCCAAGTCTCCAGCAGCTGAACAGGGAGGTGAGACGACGCATGTCGCAGTTACTCCCGACCCACGTGCTTCCATTTCCTCACGTCGGCGCCTGGCCAGACTTACTGTCGCCACACACGCCACTCTCACTTTGACGTGGATATCTCGTCTCTGTTGAATTGACTTGCTTGTTTCTGTGTTTTATGCTCACATTTCTTCGTGCCCTCACCGATTATCCCAGTATTAAAGAACCCTGCGGGAACTGTCGTTAGGACAGGCCACAAAGGGGCCCCTTAGAGAGGTGTGAGCTGGGCAGGTGAATTTAGCTGATAGGGTAGAGTAGGCTCCCCCTTTTGAGGGGTCTTGCTGCAAAACCAGAGCCACCAACTTACGACCCCCGTTGTGGGGCGGGGGGGGTGGGATGAGGTGGGTACGGCACTGGTCCTAGGGCAACAAGGGACAATGTAGGTGTAGTGAGCCTTCATTGTCAATTTATTGATATAAAGACGAGCGAGAGATGTGTAACCGATGGAAGGAAAATGCCACAAGATGCCTCGGAAGGAAAACAACATGTCCGACATAGACAATATGTCCCCAGCAATCCACCCCGTGGCAGAACCACCCACCTTCGCGATTCCGACTGTGATGAAGTACAAGATTCCCAAAGAAACCGAATTCAACCATGCATAAGAGGTATGCATGGAACTGGAACTGGAACTAGAACTGGAACTGGAAATAGAATACAAGAACATCAAGTTCAGTGTGAAGCCCAATCTAGTTGGAGACCTGATACTCTCCCTCCAAGACCACAACACAGCCAAGATCCTCAGCGAGGTCACCAACCTCAACAGTAAGACGGTCAAGATAATACCATTAGACTCCAAGAAGAAAACAACCAGAATGGTCCTACTACGATATCCTCTGGAACTACCTGTAGAAGTCATCATAAAACATCCAAAAGTGACCAAGGCAGAGCGTTGTGTTACGAGTCAGGACAAAGCACAGACAAGGCAAGTGCTAGTGGACATCAAGGGGACAGTCCCAGAGGAGGTAAACCTAGGCAACTGGGGGATTTACAAGTTGCGTCCTTTTGTCGGAGAGCCACTACGATGCTACAAATGTCAGAAATTTGGACATCACCAATCCAGGAGACACAAAAAAGTGAGATGTGGCATCTGCAGCCTAAGCCACAAGACAAAAATGTGTATTCAAAAACATAAGGAAGCAACCACTACGACAGCCAAGTGCCCAAATTGTGGAAAGAAACATTACGCCTGGAGCACATCATGCCCAGAGAGGAGAGAGCGGATGAAAGTTGCTGGTTCACAATATTGTTCATTTTCAGAGAGCAACACCAAATGTTCGACACAGTCTTGAACGAGAACCACCTTTACCTCTTTTTCTTGGAGCATATGTGCATGCCAAGACCAGGTCTAAAGATTTAAATGGCACTCTTTACCAGATGGGGTTATCTGTGTCCAATGATAGGGTCCTGAGTATGTCTACAGATTTTTGGCAAAGTCTGCTGTTGCTCACTTTGAAGCCTTGGGAGCTGTATGCCCACCTACTCTCAAGACTGGTGTGTTTACTACCTCTTCATATGATACAGTATGTACAGAAAATATTTTTTATGTAAGTGGCAAAATTGTAATAATTTTGAAGTAATATTTCATATGCAGCATGTTTTACTTGTGTTTGTTTCTAGCCAAAAAAGAGTGTTTAAGTTAAGCTCTAGTTATTTCTTCACATGATACTTTCAGAAAGGATATTTGATATATGTGACAGAATGATAATAATGTTTGGAGTAATACGAGTATTTCATATGCAACGTGATTTATGTGTGCTTTGTTCCTAGCCACAGGAGTGTTTTTTACTTACTTAAGCTCCAGTCTTCTTTTTTTTTTTTTTTTTTTTACGGGGATTAGCCTATCCGGGCACAGGCCACTGACCCACATCAGGGCCCGGGGGGCGAAAATTTAATAATAATAATAATTTATAGTAAATGAAATTTATAATAAAAAGTAAAATAAAATATTAATGGTAATAATAATAATAACAACACTGTGATAATAATAAATACAAAGAAATGCAAGAATGAAAAAAAATCAACAGAGAGAAACGCTATATATGTATGTTGTTTTGTCATGTAATAGAAACAATTGAGACCCTACAATTGTGTGTAAATGAGGCAGAAAGTCAGATGAGCAACCTGGGACTTGGTCACAATTTTCGTGATGCCATATGGCAGCAGGGTCTACCATTAGACAACACATTATGCTGCCAATATCTTCCCAGGCGGTAGTACCTCCCTGTTCGGTAGCTGCCTACTACCTACTACCTGCTGTTTTGATTCCTTTAGTAATTTTTTAATCACTGATTAGGTCTCTCATGTAAATTTGCTCAATATTTGTAATAAGAACAAGTAATTTATTTATTTATTTTTTTATAAATAAAGGACAATTATATAATTTAATAATTCACAATACAGTTTAACTAAATATGTATATCATTCCTTACTTTAAACGTTGTGATAAAAATCTGATGAATTATGTTTGATATATATATATATATATATATATATATATATATATATATATATATATATATATATATATATATATATATATATATATATATATATATATATATATGCAAGTAAATCACTGTAGGTGAGCGTGATCCAGGTATATGCTGATAACCACAAGGAAAAAGAAAACACGAAGTTCCCAAGCGCTTTCGTGTAATTCACATCTTCAGGGATGAGTACAGACCTAGAAGTACAAAACAAGGTGTATATATACAGAGGAGGGTGAGATCAGGTCCACAATGGTCAGGTATTAGGTAATGACCCTACTAATCTTTAAAAAGCACCGCAACGGTCGGTATTCAGGTCAGAGGGTAAAGTGACCCAACCTTCTCACCTGGTTACAAATCTTCTTATTTACAAAATCGTCCAGTTTGTACATACCATTACTCAAATTCATGTTGACTGCTTCGGTATGTTTAATGTTTAATTTGGTCATTACCTAATACCTGACCATTGTGCACCTGATCTCACCCTCCTCTGTATATATACACCTTGTTTTGTACTTCTCCTTAGTCTGTACTCACCCCTGAAGATGTGAATTACACGAAAGCGCTTGCAAACTCCGTGTTTTCTTTTTCCTTGTGGTTATATGCATATATAAATATATATATATATATATATATATATATATATATATATATATATATATATATATATATATATATATATATATATATATATATATATATATATATATATATATATATATATATATATATATATATATATATATATCTATATATATATATATATATATATATATATATATATATATATATATACCATCATCTCGATGAACAGGCTTTGTGTGAAATATAACAGAGTCTAGGACTGCTTTTAGTGTCCTTGTGGGTTGGTCGGTAGCATTCCCTAGTCCCACCCAGTAGGTCGAGGGTTCGATTCCTGGCTGGTGAGGTCGTTGATTATATGTTCAAAGTCCGCGTGTTATATGGACTAAAAATGAAGTATATATATGGTACCTCGTGTTTCATACCAGCTGGATTCGGTAAAATGCTACTGACACCACATACGAGGCACGGGCAGTTCCCAATGAGGTTCACGGCGCCATCAGCTCGATGAACAGGCTTTGTGTGAAATATAACAGAGTCTAGGACTGCTTTTAGTGTCCTTGTGGGTTGGTCGGTAGCATTCCCTAGTCCCACCCAGTAGGTCGAGGGTTCGATTCCTGGCTGGTGAGGTCGTTGATGTTCAAAGTCGTGTTTGGACTAAAAATTATATATATATATATATATATATATATATATATATATATATATATATATATATATATATATATATATATATATATATATATATATATATATATATATATATATATATATATATATATATGAAGGGCAGAAATCTTGTAAAAATATTGACTTTAGTGTATTTCTTGACGTAGGGTATTCCTTGACGTAGGTATTAACACCAAATTAAGTCTATAGCTGACAATCTTCAAATTGATCCTTATGGGTCATAATAACTGTATACCAAATGTGCATGATTAATTCCTAAGGGAACCTTCTGCAACTGGACTATACTCTCTACAATAATTATCCAGTGAACACAGGAGGTGCTGTAACAAATCACTCTATGATCAACTAGAGGTTTTAACAATCAAAACGCGGAGGGCGTATATGGATGAAGGCTAGAGTTCGAGGAAAAACTTTGTGGTGTCTTATCTTTACTTTTTGGAGATGAATTCTATTTGCTTTAAATGATTTCTCCATAAGCAAAGCTGTGGCAATTTGTCCATAAGAAAATAAGGAGTCTGCAATAGGCCTGTTGGCCTGCGCATGGCAGCTCCTGTTGAGAGTTACTACCACTCTCTATCATCCATGAATCTATCCAGCCTCCCTTTGAAACTTTCCAGCGTTCCAGCACTTACTACAAGGTTGCTAAGCTTGTTCCACTCGTCCACCATCCTATTTGTAAACCAGTTCCTTCCTATCTCCCTCCTAAACCTAAACTTATCCAACTTGAATCCGTTGTTCCGAGTCCTATCCTGCTCGGCTATTATAAGAACTTTATCTATATCACCTTTATTGATTCCATTCACCCACTTGAATACTTCTATCATATCTCCCCGCACTCTTCGTCTTTCTAGGGAATGCAAGTTTAGTTTCTTTAACCTATCCTGATATGGAAGGTTCCTAAGTCCCGGAATCATTTTCGTCATTCTTCGCTGCACCGACTCTAGTGACTTGATATCCATTCTATAA